GGTGAAGTACTTGTTCCCGGATAATAGTGCGGAGGCACGGGGGGTTTTGACGAGTTGTCCGTTGGTGCTTTGCATTTGGTTCGAGCCGGAGGTATACTGTTCGTACGGAGGTTAGTCGGTTGCTGGAGTGGTGGTAGAAGCAGGAATACCTACCATGTGTCCATGTACCCAGGTGTCCGAAACGCCCCCACTCAGCACAATCGTGTCGCCGATCTTCACCGTGTTGCCGTAATTGCTGATGTTCTCCAGAATGATCGAGTTGCCAGCCGTGTCGGACGTGCCGGACGTGATGAAGGTCCCCACGCTCGTCGCGCTGGTATCGATCACCGTCAACGACCCAGATGTCCCGTGCGCGTCAATACCGGTCTGGCATTGCTCGAAGCGGCATCCTACGAATGTGATGTCGGTGCCCCCTGCAACCACGCCGGTCGTGGTCCCGAGGAAGCTGAGGTTCTTGAACACCCACTGCTGGCCGTTGAGCTTCATCCCCACCGCACCGCCTTTGAACCACAGGTCGTTCTGCAAAGGTCAGGTTTCCATTGTTTGGATTCCACAGAAGGTATTTGGGGAACGTACCATGATCAGGTTACTGTTGTAATCATACTGCGTCGTCAATCCGACATGTGTCGCAGAACCAGTGGGCATGTTAAATCCCACATTCGTCAACTGCGTCGCCTGGCTGACGGTCCAATCGAGCAAGGCAATATTCTTACTGTATCCCACGCCCGTCGAGTCCAGAACCACATTCTTCATGCCAATGTAGAAGTTGATGGTGCCCCCGAAATTCGGGTCCTTGGCGTAGATGATGTGGTCATCCGGGAAGTTGGCGGCGGCCTTCAACACGGGCGGGTTGGTCGGGTCTCCGATCAGGACCGTTCCCACGAACAGCTGCAGAGAACTCTCCAGAAGGTAAGTCCCGCCGGGGAGATAGACGATGGCCGGCTGGCCGGTCGTGCCCATCGAGTGGGAGGCGCGATCGGGTCCGTTGGAAGGTCCGGCTATATACAGCGAGAAACCAAGTGTCAGCTTCCGGTCTCAGACTCTCCAGCAATTAGGGCTTCCCCCGTACCGTGAATGGCGGCCTGAATCGCCAGCGCCGCGTCCCGGCTGCCCGTATTATCGGCGCCGTAATCTTCGACCACGTTCCGGAAGACCTTGTACGCCTCTTTGTGGCCGGAGTCGAGGAAGGACGATTGGCCGTTGTGCTCGATGTTCTCGTACCAGTATCCGCCGGAGTTGCTCGAGCTGGCGCAGAGGGAGGGCGAGGCCGTTGCGATGGTCTGGTGCACCGGAGGCCCGTTGAGGCTCACCCATGGCTGCGCGGTGCGGTTTTGGATCACGAAGGGAATGCCACTGTCGCTGTCAGTGGGTACTTCTTTCGAGTATTTTTTTCGGGTGGGACTCACGTCGGATCAGGGATGTAACTTCGTTGGGGGATGGATACCGCGCTTGAGGTCGGAAAAGGCGCAAGTTTCTGAGCGGAGCCCGAGTTCTTCATCCGCGGCATCGAGGTGTTGCGCCATCCATCTTGCGGTCTCGCGAGCACCAGTGAAAAGAGTGATAGCCACGATATGCAAAGCAGAGCGAATGTCGAGTTTGCCATCATAACGGCGCGCGTGGGTTGAAGCGAATGCAATTATACAAGCATCAAAGAAAAAGACCGAGGAGAAAAAAAGTGACCGATCAGGGGGAAACAAAGAGTGAAAGTTCCCCTTGAGTCGGAAATACAAACCTCGATACCTGTTGCTTCGAGAAAAGGCCTAGTCGGACATTGGAATTTCGCCCAGGGATGGCGTATCACACGGTCGGAAAGTGTCAGGGGCCGGGGGGAGGGCGCGCAACGAGTGGAGGCATGATTCTGGGAGCCTCCTCTATTTATGTGGACATTTATTAGTGCATACCTGGACTGAGTCCAGACAAGGATTGTCCAGGTTTGGGAGGAATCTCGCGCGGCGGAAACTTACATACTGGCATGCCTTAGGGCAAGACTTAGAGTAAGGAAGTCAAGCCCATAGTTAAGGTTAGGGCCATCCATCTATTTGTTGATCTTCCGCAGAAAGGGCGGTCGATCAGGGGTTTGACAACAACCACTTGAACTCTACTTGACCAGTCCACTCCTGAGCCCCCAAAAAAGCAGTATCTGTGTGTCTATCTTGCTGTGATCTCATCTACATTTTGAAAAAGTCATCCTGCTCATCCAGACCATTTTCTCAATCGTTGAATCTCTTCTGCCTGGCGGCATTATCCCTTGTCACCACCCCCGCGCCGCCACCGCTGCCAAACCATGCAGAAAACCCAGTTTCGAGACCCTCGTGATAGCAGCCACAACCCTCAAATCGGGAAATACAACCTTGAATCGGTCCATCCTCGGACCAAAGTGTCGTAGGTATCGTCGATGGCATTTAACCCCAAAGACAATTGTCCGAGCCATGCAGCTCTGACGTCTTTCGCGACAGCGAGCTTGCATTCCGCAAGGCACATACCAACCAAGGTTGAGAGCAAGGGATTGCCCGCGCAAGAACCGGCCAACAAGTGCGTGGCACGTTGTAGGGCAGTTTTCTTTCCATGTTGCGATCAGGACCCCTGTGTTTCTTGCTCTGCAATAGCTTGCAGGTTTTTGATGGCTTTTGGCAACAGTAACAAAACCACTAACCTCAGCGGGCCCTGAGTGCTAAGATGGCAGTATTGTGCTATCCTAACACAGTATCTTAATTCTTCTACTATTTCCTGTAGACAGACACACTACTTGCGTCATACAACTTCCAAAGCATAGGTTTCTACATCGCCCATTCAACTTATGATCCCCCCCCCACTGGCGCCCGCCTTGGAAACAATCTGCAACACCACCCCACTCCGCCCACGCGTATCGGTAAAGCTCAAGGATTTATTTGACGCAAGATGCAATCGGTTTGGAAAGCATGAGAAAGATGAGAGTAAGGGTGCAGGCGGTTGAGTATGGTAGTAGTAATCCTCGCGTCTCGCAAAGAGATTCCGCTGTAAAACAAGATGTTCAGTCTTAGGCATAAATCCCGCGGTTTCTACAAAAGCTCAGATATGAATACACGGATCATGTTTAGCATACTGACAGGATATGAGTATACGTATACTGTGGTAGACATATGATTTTGATATCTGCTGTAAGGTTCAGTTTGTGGACGTTGGGGGTCCTCGGGTCGTTGTTACCCGGTAGACGATGGAGTTTGAATGCGACAGTCTGGTTGGGATGGGGATATCTATTGCATCGCAATACTAGACATCATCATCAAATTGCTTCTGAGGGAAGGTAATGATTGAAAGAGGGATAATCTGGATGTTCGCCGGTCGTAAAGCGAGCTTCCTTTCGGTTCTCTCGATCCTCTGCTCTACATATATTTGTTCGACGTTGCTGACAGCTTCTCGGTCCGCCCGCCAGGCATCCTGTTGCAGCTATGTAGAACAGATGTGCAAGATACACTGGACAACCAGCGGGAAAGGCTGGTCGGAGACTTCAAGGCTTACAAATTCTAAGATCGTTGCTAACAAAACCTTGTAGTACAAGATCGAAGAGTCTCGTGTCAGTAGTTGGTCGGTCGGTCTCCTGCAACCACCGAGCCAGCGTTTTCTTATTTGGGTAAGGTCTGCGCGGGCGGGCCGTGGGCACCGCGGGAACGAGAGCACACTATCCCCGAAATGGAATGCGCTGAGACCCCGGGCCCCCGGTCCCGTCCCCAGTCTATGGTTTAGATTGGAGATTCGTGAAGAATATCTGGCCAGGGCTGCGAATTACAAACACGAGATTGATGACGGGATTTGGAGTTGTGCATGGCACTCTCACGAATTATAAATATCGCTTGAGTGTCGCCTTTCACTTTCCCTTCACCGATTCTTATCTGCCGTTGTCATTACAGATCTATAGTATCGAGTCTGTTCGCTCAAAGAATAATCCATTGATCGTACCCTGTTCTCAAGCAGAATTATCTTTGCATACTGCACCTAAAAAAATCTACAGTCCCACACACCTCCAGCAGAATGAAGGCGATCCTTATCGAGAAGTTTGGAGGCCCAGACTCCCTGGTGATCAAGGAGATCCCCCGACCCGAACCCAAGACCGGCGAAGTCGTCATCAAAGTCAAAGCCTTTGGCGTCAATCACGCGGAGATGCACATGCGCAAAGGGGAATGGGCCGAGTGGATGCCCGTGAGCGGGATCGAATGTGTTGGCACAGTCGTAGACTGTCCCGGGGGCCAGTTCGCAGAAGGGACCGCCGTGGCAAGTCTGATGGGCGGACTTGGGCGCACCATCAACGGCAGCTATGCTGAGTACACCCGCGTGCGGGCTTCCAACGTTGTCGAGCTCGGCTCAGGGGCATCGACGCTGGGGTGGCATCAGCTGGCTGCAATCCCGGAATCCTACGCCACAGGCTGGACGTGTCTGTTCCGGAATCTCGATCTGAGGAGCGGGCAAACGTTGCTGATCCGCGGCGCAACCTCGGCTTTCGGACAGGCAGCATTGAATCTGGCCGTGGAAACGGGTGCACGTGTGGTCGCGACGAGTCGCAGGGAGAGTCGCTTTGCGCGCTTGAAGGCGCTGGGCGCCGAGCGTGCAGTGGTCGAAGGACCCGATCTGTCGGAGCGGTTGGCGGAGAGATTCGACGCTGTCTTGGACCTGGTGGGCAACAGCACCATTGTGGACTCGCTGAAAATGGTGCGACGGGACGGAAGGGTGTGTCTGGCTGGGTTTCTGGGGGGTCTAGCTCCGATTCAGGACTTCAACCCACTCCTGCAGATGGCCAGCAGTGTACATTTCAGCTTCTTTGGAAGCTTCGTATTCGGTACCCCGGAGTTTCCCCTATCTGATGTCCCCCTCCAGTCCATCGTGAAGATGGTTGCCGATCGAAAATTCACAGCAGAGCCGTCGCGTGTGTTCCAATTCAACGAGATCAGGGAGGCGCATCGAATGATGGAAGCCAACGAAGCTACTGGAAAAATGGTCGTGATTGTTGACAACTGAAGTTGTCTTGGTCACGGAAAGAATAGCTGGTCCTCCAGCGCATCCAGTGAACAAAACAAAGCGTCGGGAATCCGGAGGAACTGTCCAATAAGATCTTGATAGTCAGTAAATTCAGCCACTCCCATGAATACAATCATTTTCCCAAGCAAGCCTACAAACGTTCCTTGCAATTCTTCACTTAGACATGAAGCACAAGACCCGACTGTCAATGCCCAGACAAGGTAGATCTGATGACTCGTCGAGAGCAGAGAGAGCTCCATATCATGCAAGAGTAAATGTAACCTAGATCCGTATAACAGGCCAGGGATGGTGTCTAAACCAAATCTCCCACGAAGCTCTGTGAGATACACGACCGTAGCTAGCCGGAAGCATTCCATCACACGCGACTCTATGGTATCGTGGACTGTGGCACGTGGGTGTGACAGCAGAATGTGTAGAATCGGTGAGATGTGAAAACCGGGAAACAGAACGTCAGACCAGAGATCCCGTTTCAATAACTCGGACAGCATGATCATATGTAACTCGGCAAGGCTCTGACGGATATATGAGACAAAGACGTGGCGGTTCGTTCCGCTCTCAAGCGATAAGTCGAACCGATACGAGGCTATGGTGAGCTTACTGCGACCGGCCAGGATCGCTAGAGGTTGTTGGTATCGAGGCATACTGTCTTGAATATATGCGCCATTGACATCCACCCTGCACATACATTAGTCAAGGAAACAGCTGCAGGGCGGTATGTGCTCACCAATACAGCATGGTCCTCAGCAGCGGGTTAGAGTCGAGAGACTGGGCGCCACCTCTGCAGTCAAGGATACGGGATAGACCATCCATGTGGACGTTCAAAAGCTTTGGATCCCGCGTCATGTTCTTGATGGGCCGAGTCAGCCAATTGAGCATTGGTCGAGGGTGACTGCAGTATCTCACAGCATAACAACAGAAGGCCAGCACAGCAACGACCACCTCGTCGGAAACACAAGTTGCGGGGTCTCCTAGACGCTGCTGCAGGAGAGTTGTCGCATGAACGGTGTATCTGTAGTGATCCGTGCTGCTATCGTCGGCGTATAGATGTCCCAGGTGTTTCGACGAGGCTGATAACAGTTGCGATAGAGCGATGGTTTCACGGACGACATCGAGGAAGCCGATGTCGAGCATGGTTCGAAACATGGAACAAGTTCCATCGTACACTATTCTCACAGTCAACTGCTGTGTAGACTAGTGTGACTCCCAATCAGACAGGTAGATCGTACTATGGTCCCAGAGCCGACGAGCTCGGCGATCGCGATCGATCGGAAATGTTTCGAAGGGGTCCGATCGGCTTGCATCCAGCATTGAGAGCGGAGCTAACGCGACAGAGCCATCTGTGCAGGACTGCTGCTTTTCATGCAATGGCGGAGAAAAAGGCAGAGGTAACGAAGCAGAGCCCTGCAGCAGCGGGTTCGTATCAAACTCAATAGCAATGGTTTCCTTTCGCTTGGGTTTAGCGGTTCGTCGGCGATAGTCGACCATCGCGTGGCTGCGAACGCGTCGCCGCGTGGCTGCATCTCCGGCTACATTGTCACCCATGACGGAGATAAACTCGAAGTGTGATGCACAAGGTCGATCTCTGCTTCTGGCTGGCTTGCTTGTTATCATTGTCACAAGAACTTCTATCTGACTCGGTGCTGTACCCAGTGCATTGCGACAATGAAACTGTTTCATGGCAATCTTGGCCAGACGGTCGCAGCGGGAGCTTATCTCATCGGTTCCCCGCATGATGCTGGACTCCAGGATACGAAATGCGTAGGCTACCAGAACGTAATTTGTTTGCCATTAGGATCCACTTTTGACAGGGAAGCAGTTGTACGTTTACTGCAGTTGTATGTTTACTGGAAAAAGGTGCATCATTACAAGCAGGAGAATGCAACGATGCCAGCCACATCACAACACAATCTCTAACAGCATAATGCTCATAATGTTTCACAGCACTGAAAACCAATTCTATATCCGACGGACACACTACAGTACCAACACCATTATTCGAGTCGTATTCTAGCCTTCAAAACTGCCATCCAAGTATCTCCTCAACACATCAGCCCTCCAAATACAGGTACCGTATGTACATCCCTCAAGACCCCCGATACGTCGAGTAATTCCACGGCCCCAACAACACAGGCACATGGTAATGGCGCCACCCTTCCTCGCCCTCCTTGCCCCGCCCCTTGACGGTGAACTTGACCTCGACCTCGGGCCAGAAGCTCTCCACCCCCTGGGCCTCATACCAGGGGCCCACCTCGAAGCGCACCGCCCAGTTGGTCTTGCTGTCGGGCGCGGGGAGCGCGGCCAAGATCGCCGGGACGGATTGTGCTTGGTGCGACGAGGCCGTGGTGGTGGGTAGGAGTTCCCAATTCGCAACGCGGCCGTCGGTGTTGGTGATCGCGCGGAACGTGGGGGTCTCTTCTGTGGCTGCACTGCCCGTGCTGCTGGAGAGGAGCGTCAGGGTCACGGGGAGGTTGGCGGCGGGCGTGCCGGTGAGGGTGTTGAGGACGTGGCAGGTAATCGGATCGCGGGACATTGTTGCTCTTGGGAATTTGGGGGTTGGGTTTGTTGTCTTTGTTTGGGTCTGGGAGGAGGAGGATGGGGAGGAGGAGTGTTGGGTGTGGTTGTTGAGCTGGTTGCGGATGAGGTTCAGACGCTCGGTGGGTTGGGCTTGATGGGTTGGTATTGGGCCTGTTGACGGCTGGTGAGGTTGTGGGCTGTTGTCCATGAACTGTTTCGACTCAATAGTAAGGTGCAGAGTGATTGAGGAGTATGGCTGTAGAATCGAGGGGAATGGTGAGCGATAAGGTAGTGAAGGGGGGAGTGGAGTTTAAATGATCATATCTCCGGTCCCGCATTGACTGCTCTATCGGAGAGCACCGATACCCCGCCCGCGGAGGATGCCACCACCACGCCTGGCAGCCAGCCTGGAGCCAGGCTGGGCCCGCGGCTGGTGAGCTTGTTTCCTAATCCGGAAACTTGTCTTGGCGCCGGACATTCGGGTCCTCAGGCACAACTCGCCCGTCATTTACTTATTGACTGTTTGTTTACACTTATTGTATCCGAGCTTAGACTGTAATCCTGCGTTGTTCTCACTTTCGTCTCTTATGCTCGATACAAATCGAAGAGACATGACGCATTCACTTAATCCTATAATCACACAGAAGACCATCACCGAGAAGCAATCACACGCTCCAGGAAATCAAACCCCCGTCTCTGCAACTCCCACGTCGGAGACCCCACCTTCATACTCATCGCAAACGTGTGGTCCTCCCCGGGCACCTCAATCATCTCACACCGCACCCCCTGCTCCTTCAGCACCCGGAACAACTCCCGACTCACCTCGATGGTGACCTTCGTATCCGCCCCACCGTGCACAATACAGGTTGGCGGGAACTGCGCATCGACGTGGTGGACCGGGTCGATCTCTTTGACATCCCGACCGGGATAGCACGCCTGGATGACCGACCCGTTGGCGACCTGCGTGAGCGCGAACCCGTCGCGCGGGCGGCTGAAGTCCGGGCCCGGCACGACGCCAACCTCGGTCTGCCCTTCGAGGGAGATCGAGCTGTTCGTAGGCACGGGCTTCTCGTCGTAGATCCGGTTGAGGAACGCGGGGTCGAGAGGCGGCAGCTTGCTGGCTACCTCGGGAAGCGGTTGCGTCCAGAACATGTGGGTGAGGTAGGCCGGGGCGTAGAAGTCGAGGATCGCTGCTACTCGGCGCGGGACGTCCCATCCCTACGGTCCAACAGGGTACAGGTAAGTATCATCTTTGTTTGCTGACTGCCTATTGGGAGAGGAATAAGGCGGGCGCTTACCAGTGACAACGCCAATGTGCCTCCGGACGATGTCCCAAAAGCCATGACTCGGTCCTTATCGACGCGGTACTGCGATCCATGCAAATGCGCGGCTGACTCCCCGGCAAGAAATGCATCGAGGTGGCCGTCGTAGATCCATGCCAAAAGATCCCGGCAGTCTGCCATCGGACCCTCGAGGATGTTCACCTGCGGACAAAGTCGGTGGTTGGGACTGACCACGATCCAGCCGCGGGCCAGGCAATCGTCTACCTGGGGCATGCAGACCATTTTGGAATGGCCCAGCATGAACGAGCCGCCATGGATGTCGATTACTGTGGTTCTCGTTCAAAGGTCAGCGATCTCATTGATCTGGGTAGTTGTCATTGATGTTGCTGAGAACCTTGAGATCACATACACACAGGATAATCTCTCGGCTGTCCGTTGTCAGAGGCTGCTAGTGGTGGGAGATAGACATCTGTGTCGATTCTGCTACCGTCGATCTCCTTGTATTGGACTGTGAGGGGCGTCGGGGGCATGTTGTCTGCTCTATCCACAATTTTCTCGTAGAAATAGCTTTGACCTTTTAGTCAACAATTTGCAATAGATCGTATACTCCACGAAGCGATCAACAGAGCTGGCTGTCTATAGTATGTATGGTGCACAAGGTTAGATGAAGTTGGAGGGGTCCTGTAAATTGGCTTCTAGATGCAAGATAAATCTAGGCGCGGGTCCGTCCGGAAAATCCGACTGCGGGGAGGCGACCAGGGATATCCGGCCATGGGAATGGGGGACCCAGATCGCAGAACAGCATTTACCGAGGATGCATATCTCGCCGAGTCAATCAAACCTTTTGGCTCAACATCGGTTTAGTGCCCACCGACGTCTCTACAAATATTTAGGCGAACTTTATGATCGAAAGAAGATAGATAGCTTTGATGAAGTCCTCAACTGGCGACGGACTGGCACAGAGATTAGCTTGTAAGAAGCAAACGAGTTAAATAATGCAAACGGCGGCTCCGGCCGCGTTCCTCAGAATACCTACTCATATTTCGTGCCAGCGTGGCTGCTGCATCCTGCAGGTACCGCTCGTCATGCCGCATTTTGAAAAGTCGTCACTTGCTGAGGCCACACCTCTGCTTGTCCTCGGTATGCTTACAGGATTACAGAATATCCACGTAGCTGCAGTAGTGTGAGTCATTGGAACACATTAAAGTTGCATTGAGTTTTCTGTACAACTACTTGTGGAGGAATTCGTTGACTACTTGGGTGAAGGCAGGAGCGTTCTCGACCATGGGCAGATGTCCGGCCTTGGGGATGAGCTTGAGCTCCGCATCGCCCTGGAGGTCGGCCGCCATTTGCTGCATGGTCTTAGGAAGCACACCATCGCCCTCGCCGGCGACAAAGAGACCTGGAACCTGCGCCTGCGCCATCTGTTCCCGGACATCGTATGCGCAGAGAGCCTGGACGCTCTGGCGGAAGCCTTCAAGGCTGTTGGTGCGCACTAACTCCTTCACCTGAGCAGGCAGGTGAGGCTGGGTCTCGTAGGACTCCGGCGTGAACCACCGACGAACTGTGACCTCGGCAAGCTCCTCACCAACAATCGTCTCCTGGGTGGTAGCAGAAACAGCACCCTCGCGCTCGGCCACTGCTACGCGATCATTCCAGGCCTTGCGGTTAGACTCGGGGCTGGAGCTGTTAGTATCGCAGGCGATGAAGCGCGTCACCCGAGTAGGGTAGCGCAGTGCGGTGTTGAGAACCGTAACACCTCCCATGCTAACACCGATCAAGGTGGCTTGAGGGATGCGCAGTGCATCAAGCAAGGCGATGATGTCGGAGGCGAGCACATCGATGTTGATCGGCTGCTTGCCACAGGCCTGCAGACGGCCACGGGTGGAGTAACGCAGGATACGGAAGCCCTGGTTGCGGGGATCCGCGAGGAAGGCGCTGACAAATTCATCCCAGATGGCGTAATCCACCAGAATCGAGTTACTCAGAACAATGACGGGGCTGTGAGGGTCAGTGCTGCCCTCCAACCGGTAGGGCAGGTCGACACCGTCCGCGGTGGTGACAAATGACTCGACGGCCGGGCGGGTAGGCGAGGGGAGAGTACGGGTGCGGCCGTCGTTGGACGACCACGGCCCAGCAACATCCTTGGAGGCCAGGGAAGAGAGCTCGCGGGGAGCAGGTCCGAAGGTGTAGGCCCACTCAAAAACACGACGGCGCTGGCTGGTGATCGTGTCGGTCACAATCCGAGTGCGCCAAGGGGTATCCATGGCAGCCTTGTGTTCCGGACCCCCCAGGCCATTGGTGGCTTTGTACTCGTGGAGGGTCAAGTATTCGCGGGGGGCCTTGGGGTCGATGGCGGCTGTAACGAAGCGACGGGAGCAGCGCCAGCCAGGCACGCGGGAGAGCATAGGGATGTGTTCTTCGGTATACCAGCGGTTGTAGTCGGCCTCCTTGTCGGCGTCGTCGACAAGAGTGGTGGAGACAGCGACAAGCACCGAGCCGGCCACAGTGGTATCAGGTTGATCCTCGAGCGGAGTGTAATCGGCGGCTTTTTGTTCACCCAGGAAGTCGTAGAGGCGGCGATCGACGGCAATTTGAGCCATAGTCGCTTTCTCGCGGGGAGTCTTGATACCATCTCCCCGGAGAGCCAGGTAGGTCTCGCGCGTCAACTCCTCCATCTCCGTAATGTCATACCAAGCTACCCACTCAGGCTCCTCGCCATCGACAGCACGATACCGGAAACCGTTGGTGACGAAAGGCAAGCGTAGACGCAAGGGTCCATGTTCCGAGTTGTACCAGTCGTGGAATTGAGCGGCGGGGAGCGAGGGACGCGGGTGCATCGTCACGTAAAGCAAGCCAGGAGTCGCCATTTTGGAGGGGTTGTAAGGTACGACACAGGGATCAATTGCAGCTGTTGAGTCAATGAGTCAATGAGAAAAACACCGAGCAGGAGACCTTGCAATAGATAAGTGAAGGAGGGGCATCCGACAGGAAGGAGGGGCGTAGCACGGCCATATTTTTATTGTTCACTTGCCGCCTCCGACTTTCGACTGCCGAACACACAGCCGATGGACGGGGGGAAAGCCATTTACCGGAGGTTCGAAATCCCTCCGGAGCAAATCGCCCAGAGTCGTGCCGGTCTGGCACGTGACATGCGGAGGATCGCGGGTGTTTGTGGTGTTTGCTGAAATGGGTCTTGGTCCCCGCTTCCCCCACAGATTCCAAGCTACGGAGTAACTACAGTACCTTATCAAGCTATCATCATCTATACCGCTGCATTGGCTTGACGCAGAAGAACTGGGATGGACTGACCTACTAGGTATTGTCCTCCCCACCCCCTTCGCCTTTCTGACAATGTCTTCAGGCATGGCTCGCTCTAGACGACCCTACTTCGATCAAGACTTGTACCTGCATTGCGATACGTCGATCCGGGGGAGGGCGACATTCCTGCTCTCGGCCCCATCCCTTCTTATCATCCGAAAACGGAAATCCTGAAGCACGCCCCTGGAGGGCTGAAGTAACATCAGAGTGCAACCGGGAAGAATGTTCCCTGGGTCAAGCCTCTGGATCCTCTCTCAACGAGGGTATTTCAGGGTCTGAATGTTTTCATCCGTGTCACGTCTTCAGTTGGGTCCGCGGTCGTATCGACTGGTCGCCGGCGTCATGCTCCTCGCCAGTGAGACTCTACATGCGGACAAAGTGGCCCGGTGGACATAATCGTGTTGCATTGAAAATCTTCGGTCGCCTGTATCAGTCTGCAGGCCTTTCAGTGATGTCCTAAACACCAGGACAGCTTCAGCTACGCAGCAATCGCGCCCCAATCCTCCACAATGGCCACCACAGCACCGAAATTAGATGAGCGAAAGAATGAGGAGAAGAACCAAGAAGAGAGCTCGATTCACGAGCTATCCTGTTCCTCTACCACTCCTTTATCGCCTGGTAATGCAGAGTCAGAGGTAGTCTACACAATTGACGACGAAAAGGTCCCAGACAAGACACATTCGGAGGAACAATCAGGATCAAGCCTTCGTCTTCTAGTCTGGATGACAATCAACATTGTGTCTACTGTAGCCATCGTAAGGCACCAGAAACTCCTCATCTGAAGCAATGTGAGGCTCACTTGGATACCACAGGTTTTCACCAACAAGTCTGTCCTCTCGCATGCCATGCTTCGAAACTCCCAGGTATCATTTGCTGCATATCACTTCACGATCACTGGAGTGACCCTCTGGATCACCTCTCGACCCTGGTGTGGCTGGTTCGAGCCTAAACATGTCTCTGCATATCGCATCCTCCATCTTGTTGCAGCCATGTGCATCCAAGTGATATTCCAGAATCTTGCACTCGCACACTCTTCTGTTATCTTTCACCAGCTGGCGCGATTACTTCTTACGCCTGCAACTGCGCTGCTGAACTACATCCTTTATCAATCCAGTATCCCTCGCGCCGCATTCCTGCCTCTCATTGTACTCTGCACTGGCGTGGGGGTTGTCTCGTACTACGATTCTGTACCAACCTCAAAGAGCACTGAATCGACCTCAGCGCAGGGCATTTTCTTCGCCCTCTCCGGTGTCTGTGCCAGTGCCATGTACACCGTGCTGGTGGGCCGCTATCATAAGAAGCTGCAGATGAGCAGCATGCAGCTTCTGCTTAACCAGGCGCCTATCAGCGCAGCTGTTTTACTCTGCATTGCCCCTTGGATGGAGACTTTCCCAACCGTCTCATCTGTGCCGGAGTCCCTGTGGCTGTCTATCTTGGCGGTATGCATTCCATCCTTCCCTTGGCTCTATACATTCAGCTAACTCATCACTTTGCAGAGCGGCATTATGGCATGTCTGGTCAACCTCTCTCAATTTTACATCATCGACGCAGCAGGGCCAGTTACCAGTACTGTCATCGGCCAATTGAAGACCTGCATAATCGTAGGGCTAGGTTGGATTCTGTCAGATCATGTAGTGTCACATCAGAGCGTAGCAGGAATCCTGATGGCCTTGACGGGAATGAGTTTGTGAGTTCGCGCCCTTTCATTCGAAGATCAAGGACTAATGTTGTGATCAGGTATATGAAAATAATTCTCAAGCATCAGAAATGATGCTCAATTGAATTAGTAATGGCGCACGGGAAGAGGTAAAAAGGCTTTATGTATAGTAGCATAATTTTTAATGCAGGGGATATGATTGAAGCAAAATTATCAAACATGGCTGTCTGATGTCGAGTCTGTGGTTTATTCGTTCCCTCAATGTCAGATACTAGATTTCCTTGTTTTAGGCCTACTAACTCCACCGATTTCGAAATTTCAGAGCAGAATTATAAGCCAACAGAGGTGGAGATGAAACAAAGCAGGACCTCGGCCAATGCACACGTGACCGACCAGCTTGCAGGTGTTTGTCACATTTGTCCCCGTTCTGTCCGCGCCCTCCGCGTTTCCCTTATCGCCAACGACCCGTGTTCCTCGCCGCGTCCGTGACACGAAAATGACTTGATCTTGAACCCAACTCCCTCATTGGACCCCAACCTGCGCCAGTCGTATCCGAAAAAGCCAGGCGCTATGACAGGCCGAAGTCGAAGACCCGGCAAGATCGCATGATGTCACACTGGTTCACGCTTCAGGAGTCTGATGACGATGAGAGCGTGGTCGAAGAAGCCGAGAACCTTCTGGCGCAGTTCTTGGGACCTTCCAATCTTGTGAAACGCGAAGCCACACAGTCCGTCGATCGAACCGAAACCCCGACGATCCAAGACCGATCCCCCGCCACCGGCAGCACTCGCTCGTTGACCTTACCCCGCACGCCAGAGTCTTTGAGACCGAGATCTCAGGATAAGCTGTCCATCACGGATCACTCACAAGTATTGGACTCGACCAAGGCGGCGCGGGCGCGACGGTCGGGTCGTTCGCGGAAAGGCCCCGCTAACTATTACGATTGCTCCAACTACGAAGGCTTCGGGTCGAACAGTGAAGTTAGCCAAGACCACGAAGAGGCTGTGGTGAGGTCTTCGCGACCGCGAAAAGGTCCTGCTAAAAACTACGATGGGTCGAACGATGAAGGATCTGGGCTGAATCGTGAAGTTAGCCGAGGTCGTGAAGAGACTGTGGTGAGGTCTTCGCGACCACGGAAAGGTCCCGCTAACTACTATGATCGCTCGAACTACGTAGGCTTCGGGTCGCACGGTGGAGTTAGCCAAGGTCGTGAGAAGACTGAGTTACAGTCTTCACAACTACGGAAGGGTCCTGCTAGATGCTATGATCGCTCGGATTCCGAAGGCTTCGGGTTGGACGGCGGAGCTAGCCGAGGTCGTGGAGATAATATGTTGAGGTCTTCGCGACCACGAAGGGATCGCAGTGATAGCCTGGTACCGAAACCCCCCCGGCGCAGAAGAGGTCGCAGCTACGCATCATCACCATGTTCGAGTGTCCAGCACAAGCCCGAACGACCACACCATGACCCATGCCTAGCGACCCCTCCATTGCACGATACACATTCCGGCCCAGCCAGAGATCCATCGAATACATTGACGGCACTTCTACAACAACGTCAGCTGGGACGTTCGACAGCGCGCAAGATCCGTACCCAGGCCTCCGACAACTTCGAGAAATCTTGGACTTGGAAAGGCGCTTCCGGCGATGTGATTGTCTCGGGGTGGTCGCCCGATGGTACCAAGTTCGCAGCCGGGGCAGCTGCCCAGTGCGACGAGCACAATATGGCATATAATCGAAACAACAATCTGCTATTTGGAGATCTGACCACGAATACTTTGCAAGAGCTACCGGATCACTGGGTACCCCGACCGCGGACGAGGGCCGCCAATAACCTGAACCTTCACGATTCTCGACTCTTCATGAGTGTGACCGCCCTTGAATGGTGGGATGACGCTCTCTTCACGGCGAGTTACGACAACACCGTGAGACTGTGGCATTCATCTAGCAAGGGGACAGGGTGCTTCGAGCGGTTGTGGCATGATACCAGGGTTGAAGTGATGGCCCGCTCCAAATACGTGCCCAATTTATTGGCAACGGGGACGCGTGAGATCGGCCTCTGGAGACTGGACGAACGCACTTACACATTCCTCGAAACCCGCAAATCTCGTTCGAACAAGGCTATTGAGATGGTGCCTTCCTCTCTTGCCTGGGGCACGATTCAAGAAACTGGCAATATCCTCCTTGCCGGATTGTGTGAAAAGGGCCATGATAGCCTAACGCCCGATGGCCAGTTGCTAGCTTGGCAAGTGAGCGAAGCTTCAATCACGCCCCTCAACCTCTTACCCGGCTCCCAAAACGTCTTCGATATCAAGTGGCACCCGTCTTTACCAGTTGCTGCCGTGGCGAACTACATTGCTCACTCCCCATACAAGGCCTTCAAAGAAAGCAGATCATCCGTTCGTATCTATGAGCCGCTGAGCTCGAAAGTCAGTGTCATGGAATTCGAATGCCCTGCTTTGGATATCAACGATGTGACATTTTGTCCTACGAACACGAACTACCTCACTGCTAGTTGCACCGATGGCGCGACATACGTCTGGGACTATCGCAACCCAGCAGAGATTCTCCACAAACTTCAGCATGGTGAAGTGCTGAATCCGATAGATCAGAATCAGAGTCGCGAGCAAGCAGATGTTGGCGTGAGAACGGCTCTGTGGGGCAATACGGTTTGCGAATTCTACAGTGGAGCCACCGACGGGGTGGTGAAAAAATGGAATATTCTCCGAGCTCCAGAAGATGTCCTCGAGAAAGACCTTGCAATTCTTGACGAGGAGATCATGAGTCTCTCCTTCTCACCTGATAAAACCAATCTCCTAGTCGGGGATGCCGCTGGCGGAATTCACATGCTGTCGTCGGGGCCCTTCTCGCGCACGGAGGATAATGCTATTGAATACAAACCTGCATGGGAACCATCAAGGACCGAGTCCCCCGATAAGCCAGACTCTGGAGTCGCTGCAGGCGCCGAGTTACTGCGGTCCGGCCAGCTTGAGCGGCATCCTATCTATGGGGTTGGAAAAGGCCCGTACTACGATGGTCCATTCGCGGCGTGGGCGCGACCAGAGAACACGCCAGCCGATGAGCTTGCTTATACGAGGTTGGCAGACAAGTGGCAGGCTCTGCAGCTCGATGGACTTGACCCTAGGTATCGGTTTGCACTGGAAGAGAAAGACCAACAGCAGGTGGAATTGCAACGGAAGATCGCGCAGGCGCGGAACCAGCGGGCTGGTTACAAGAAACGGATCCATATGGATGCCAAGGGCATCATCGACCTGTGCAGCGACGAGGAGTCGGAGATCTCCGAGCCACCCTTCAAACCCAAGCGGCGACTGGCGGGATCCCATATGAATGTGGCAGGGGTCGATGTGATTGACTTAACCTCGGATCCGGTGCAGGCCCCAGTCCCCGAGCCTCCTATCTCAACTGCACCCGCTGTCTCGTCCACACCGGTTCGTCCCCGTTTGTCGAGTCCTGTCGATGAAGATCTTTGCGAGGCGCTGGAGGAAGATTTCTGGTGGCCGCCGAACGAAACGGTGGATCCAAATTTCAAAGATGACTGAATACAATATGCATGGAACGTTGAAGATCTACACGTTCGGTGCCCTGTGGGTAGCTAGCCATGCCTTCATATGCACCTTGATTCACGATCCGGAACTATGTTTCATGTTACATAGCATCATTTAGAAAGTGAAGCTGTATTAATACAACATTTAAATGGGCAGTGTTTCGAAATCTCTTCTTCTCATATTACTGTTCTTTATTGCAGATCTGCTGGTCTTATCAGACATCGACATACCCAACATTTACATAGTGTAATTAAATCCACCATAAAGATGCATACTTCCCACAGATACGACTCGGTATTCGCCCCGAAGAACAAACGCGGTTCCCCTCCGATGCCGACATCTCCGCCCACCGTCGGAAAAGCTTGCGACGAACCGGAAAAGCCCTCCTCGGGATGAACTTACCCCGCAATATCCGGGGCCCTATATATAAATAATTAAAAAGCGTCCTGCAGATGCAACTACCCCAACCCTTCCCCCGCACTGTCCACTTGAAATTCAATAAACCCCACCACCTTCTTCCATCACCCGAGGAGGGCACCCCAAAATGAGCAAACCCGAACCGACCATCCCCTTCGAAGCCCTGCCCGTCGACCCCGCAGGCCCCCCCGGCAACGCCTGGGGCCGCTTCGGGGCCGCCGACCAACTTGGCACGTTGAACCTGCTCACGCCGGAGGTGATCGTGGCCGCGGCCAAGGAGATCCGCACGGGGGTGCGCATCTCGCTCGACTGGCCGCTGAGCATGCCCACCTACCCGAGCTTCGAGCGCGATCCGTTTCACCAGCGGATCGTGCACCGGCGGCCGAATTGCATCAATGATGATATCCTGACGTTCAATACCCAGGGGTCGACGCAGTGGGATGGGTTCAGGCATTACGGTGCGTGATTCTTCTCTATCTGGGGGCGGGGGGATGTGCTGTGGCTACGGATGATGGGTGCAGGGTGAAGTGCATTGTCATTTTCAAGCTGACTGGGGTTTGTGGGTGTGGTTTGGGATGGGTGATAGCCCATCAGCAGAGTAAACGGTTCTACAACGGGCATACGCAGGAGGAGATTGAGGGGACGGATGTTCTGGGGTTGCATGGTTTGTCTCTTTCTCGATGTTTTTTTGTTGTGGCAGAAATTGCCTAGGGCGAGAGGAGCAGGGGGGAAGGAGACGACTAACCCTGGGTTGTCGGTAGTGGTCACCGAGGCCGGCGGCATCACCGGCCGGGGCATCCTGCTGGACTACGCCAGCTGGGCGGACGAGCACGACATCCCCCTCGCCCCGCTGACCTCCTCGGCCATCCCCGTCGCCCACCTCACCCGCCTCCTCGCCGACCACGGCGTCCAGCCCCGCCCTGCCGACATCCTCTTCATCCGCAGCGGGTTCACGCGCGCCTACCACGCCCTCTCGGACGCCGAGCGCCACGCCCTCGCCCGCCGCCCGGCCCCGGACTTCATCGGCCTCGAGGCCTCCGAGGCCGCCGTGCGCTGGCTCTGGGCCCACCAGTTCGCCGCCGTCGCGGGCGACGCCCCCAGTTTCGAGCGCGCCCCAATCCGCGGCGCCCACGCCGACCCCCGCTTCAACCTGCATGAGTGGGTGCTGGCCGGCTGGGGGTGTCCCATCGGGGAGCTGTTTGATCTCGAGCGCTTGGCAGAGCATTGTCGCGAGACGCGGCGGTATGAGTTCTTCCTGGCCAGTGTGCCGTTGAAGGTATGTTTTTTTTTTCTCTTTGCTGCGCCGGGGAGGGAAGGCATTGGTCGGGATTGGAAGGATTCCAAGTCGGCTGGAGTTCGTTGGGCTAATTCTTGGATTTTCTTCTTTTTTCTTTTTTTTTTAGGTTGTTGGAGGCGTAGCGACCCCGCCTAACTCGGTGGCTATCTTCTGATCCTGGAACACGGGATGGATTCCATAAAGATCCGTGTTTGGTGGTTGAATGGTGTATATGAATGGCAGGGTATCAGAAGAATTGCAAGTTTGTACATAGTGGAGTGGAATGATTCTGGTAAGTTCGTCGTTTATGAACGTGTATGTGGATATTAGAGATTATGAGATGTTGCCGGGTGGCAAGGTATATAGCATAATAGTACAGATTGAAGTAGAAAGACCATTACTGTCGTTATGTGCCTTCTTCAATGCATGGAGAACATCCCGCTCTAGAGTCTCCGTGGGTTCTCGTTGTGCAAGGCTTCAGGCGAATCGACGTGCCCGTGGGGATCAGGGATGTCGCAAGTCTTGATCTCTGCATTCTCTTTGTGGTGGTAGCTTCGTAGGAGATGGGAGCAACCTATTACCCTGCAGTCGCTACAGTCGATCGCTCAAGGATTGACCGCGGTCGCGTTTCATCCATGTTGTTTCACGCTGAGGTCTGGTCCGGCCCGGGTGTATAGGTAGCGCGCTGTTGTGGATCGGTATGAATGCACTGTTCAAGCGATGGAAAGGCTGGCCGAAAGTCCGACCTTCGTGAGTAAAGCACCGCAGAGCGTGCTGCCACGACCGGACGATGCGTTGCACGGACTTGGATTCAGAATTCCAGGTCAAAATGTTTGAGCCTCAGTTATGCAAGAGCCCCTTGGCCGACCGGTTGCGACTGTAGGTGGTTGCAACCGAGTGCGAAAAGTCTTAATGGCGGACGGTGGTGAAAAGCCATTCTTCGAATAGGACAGCAAGGGGATGTGATGTATAACAGGCATGGCTGCAGCAATGGCAGTCTGCCATCCACGGTCGCATCGCCTACCCAAGTCACGGCAGTCATGCGCGCCATGTTAATTGATGCCTCAGGGACGGATGATGCTGTTTCTGTGTCGCTTTGAGGGGCCTATATCGCTGGGAGACGCTTCGTATGCGCTCTCCGTTGTGACTTCGATCGTCGTATGCTGCATGACCACGCCCATGGGTGCCAGCTCAAGGCCCCCTTTGCCAATCATCTCCTCGGTGGAATCACTGCGGCCTCGGGTAATTGTCGTTGACGTCGGTCCCTTCGGGTCCGCGCTCATAGCATATTGATTTGCGGCCGATGACTTGTTTCGCCGACTGGAGAGCTTGTTGCTGCTTCCTCGGGCCTCGGATTCCACCACCACACTTCGGCGGGTCACGACGTACATGAAAGAATCGCAGAATCCTGAGCATGCCATGATAGAGCCCGCGAAACAGAAGTAAAGCACGCTTGGCGAATGACCCCCCGCGGACGCCATGCGACCGGCCGCCAATGGCAGGGTCAGGCAAATGTAGACGACGGGATAGACAGCCATGTGCATGATGACCCTTTTCAACCGACGCAGACTCTCGGAATTGTGCTCGCCAAGGACGGCCGCTTCAGACATCTTTTGGCGCAGTTGGATGAACATGATGGCGTAGAGTGAAACCGTGAAGAATTCGGAGGCGAAAATCCAGACATAGTGCGTCCACAGTCGCATATTTTCGTATTCGGGAGTCATCCAGCACTGTCGAGAACTCAGTTAGCCATTAATTCGCGCCGGGCTATCTCCACATAAAGCAAAGACGCAAGAACTGACCCAGGCCACCGCAGGATACCACACGTATCGTCCGTGTGCAGCAATAGGAATAATGGTCATTACCACCCCAAAGACCCAGAGACCAACGACCATGCTCACAAAAACTCGGTGTTCCATTTGATAGTTGAGGCAGACATGCAGGAACGTGTGCACCGCAATGGCGAGGACGAAAAGACCACTCATTGGGTCGCCGATCTGAAGCCCCACCCCTTGCAGGAAACACGCGGCATCTGTCGCTCTCACCGCATCGATCGCAATCCAGCGGAGAGACATAATGAACCCAAAACTCTGCAGGAAATCGGCCAGAATCAAGTTGAACATGAGCACGACATACTGATTGTAACCAATGTATCGCCGATAGTACTGACGCCAGAAGATGAATCGATATGTAATGAAGCTCAGAAGCGCGAAGGTCGTGACCATAGAAAGCAAGGCGAGTGCAGAAATCACGATCAGGCCTTTTTGTTGCAAATTGGACAGTGGACTGATCACTGCCGAGCCTTCTTCCCCACGTGAATGCAGGGAAGGGCCGTCTCTGGCCGGGCCAGCCCCCAGAAACGATTCAAGTGCGATGGTCAGCATGGCAAAAGACGTTGAAAAGGCAGGGGTTTTCCCGCTGCACCATTTGGGGCGGCGTTCGGGCTATATAATCAAGGATTTGCCCCTGGGTACCTGGCATTGGCCATGGCGCTGTGTGGTGGATAGCAGGAGCTTCACATAGAGCAATGATCGGAGGCATAGCGCACCATAGTAGGCTTGTCCAACCCACACGTCAAGGTTTGCAATTGCCGATACGGGCTCGGGCGTGGACCGAAAGAAGTTATCATCCGCGACGTGCTGCGCGTGGAATCTCCACCCCGTCCGCCTTCATGTTACCTTGGCCCATACTGTTGGATTAGCCTCTGGCATGAAGCGAATGGGGATCCGGAGCAGTTAGACTAAGCTTTGGGCTTGCCAATCTGGGACTCTAGCCCCTGGGACATTCGCCATTCCGACAGAAAGGGCGGACGGTGTGCAGGCAGGCAGCACGTTCTGTCTTTCACTAGTACTACTCTAGTATTTTAGCCAACGCCACGCGGCTCGCTTTGAAAAGCTTGACAAGCCCTTGTTGATCCTCGTAGGTCAGGGTCTAGGCTAGCGCTTTGGTGGCAAGTTGCAATAACTCTTCGACTGAAGCTCCCGTGTTTATGAAACATGACTCGGTCAGGGGCAACGTGCTCAGCCTGATTGGAGGAATCTTGCTAGGCTGCAGGTGGCAGAGCTCGAACTTCACGCCTCGTCGTCTAGTTCGTGGGCAGCAGAAGTAGCAAATTTTCACCTCCCTTTCCAGAAGGGCCCAACTTACGCTTACTCCACGTGCGGGGCGCCAGCCAAGGTACTGTACGGAGTAGTCCGTACTCATGGGTATTTTGGCACCACCCACAAACCGCGTGCTTTCATCAATCGTAGTAAATGGTTGTAGAAAGGTCTGGGGTCTGGGTTTTCAGTACCATGGCATGCGTGAGATAGGACAGGAAAAGTTGAGTAAATGAGGAATGGAGATGAAGAGGTTGGTTGGTGTTTGAATTAGTCACCGTTGGTTTGACTGGGTTTCAGTTGCCGAGGATTCTGCCCGGAATTACCGCCCCAAATGACTCGACGTTTCTTTGGCCACTTCAATGTTTATGATGTTAGACAGATTTATTTAGTTCATTTATTCGCCATCATTATCTTGCAGCCTCTGTCTATCGGTCCATCTCATTTGACCTTTGGGCGAACGTGAACATGAATATGGCCAACTTGACTTGGACCAAAAGCAATCTCCCACACCCGCCCGCACAAGAAAGAAAGGGGAAACCTCGTCACGGTTCATTTCTGAAAGGAGCTGGCTTGGCATGGGCGCTTCCCCGTGCGATGGCAGTGAGAGATAGTGGAGCCTGGAAAGATTGACTTGTCGATCCTTTCGCCGGGATATGAGCTCCGGACATCCCATTCCTCCATGCCGCCTAAATATGTACAGTCGGAAAGGTGGGATGTGGAGTCAACGATCATGACCCAAACAAACACGGCTTTACACGAGCACATGGCTCTCCGCGATACTTCCCAGATCTTCTCCATGGACCATGAGCCGTCCTCCTTCAGCCCTATCACGATCGCAACCAGGGTTTCCAGCTACAATCCAGTACCACGGAACCACTGCCGCAGCGAGTCAGCTCTATCGAGATCAGCAAATGGTGGATTCGATCCCAACCACGAGCCAAGGCACCAAGCGGGAAAGAGAACCAACCATGAGCTTATCACCTTCCCATTTGGTAGCCATCCACGAGGTCTAGGGTTCGCACTCCAACCGATCGGCCTTTGATCACTCTTACTATGCAAAATACGGCCGCTTGAACTTAGGACCCCCTGCATGATATCTGCACAAGCTTTTGACTTCACCATCTGTGGCTTGCACTAGGGCCCCATCGGTTTCTAGTCTGCAAGCCATGCTCTGAACACATTCAGGCTTCAGGGGAGGGGGCAGCGTGGAGGGAGTTTGCTGCTAAGTGGTCCAAATCAGTTACTTTTGATGAACACCATCGTCATTCTTCTTTGAAGTCGTGCCTTACGTTGCGTACAAGACACTGAATTCAGAAGATAGGGGCGAAGTCAAACATAGCTAGTAACCCGAAAACCAGATATGTCCTTATCTCATACCTTGGATCTCAACGCTTTCCAATGTTGCTACAGCATTTCCCCGTTTTGGAGGCCTAGTGCTTACAATCAAAGTTACTGGCTGGTCAGCCGTGGCCCGTGACCGGGGCTGAAGCAAGTCACCATGGTTCTTTATTTTATCAAATTATTGGATTTCAAACTAAAATATCTGAAAGGTATCGAAGCCTTGGGCTTGAGAGTAAGATGTCGCCTCAGACCCGGGGCAACTCTGGCGGATCATCTTTGTAGCTCTCTCGTAGCAGCTCTCGGTCAAAACCATCGACATGAGTACCTTGCTCGTACTGTTGCATCCAGTCATCAACGAACCCTTTGATCGCACTTCAAGAAGTCATATCTTTATGGGTATATCTAATACGCCCTATCAGACTCCAAAGGAGAAAGAACGAACCATTGACCTTGGCCAGGAAATGTTGTTCCAGTTCTTCCCTTTCCAGGGGCGACGTATTTCTGACAAATCGGGGCCCCCAATCCTCGTCCTCGTGCAACAGTGCCCAGCGGATGTACCATAACATATCCGCTTGACTCACTTCATGCATGATGAAACCGGGATAGGCCTTCAGACCTTCCTGAAACTCCGCCTGTCCGCGACTTGAGATGCAGATCTTGACATCAAGCGGCCGGGCGGACATCAGGTGATCCAGCATCCCCGAAAAGCCTTGCTTGAAGTGGCTCAGACCATCCAGGTATAGCACAAACTTGTTGTCCGTGTAGATGTCGTCTAGCGTCACAAGCCTATTCCAGGCGTGAAGCACCTCTTCATCGTTAATAACACAAGGGTCATGGAAGCCGCGCGGATAGGAATCGCACTGCCGTGAAAAAAGGCGCCGGGCCAGCTCTGGCTTGTCGACGATGAGGGACCAGAGGATGGCCCGAAGCATTGCTTGTAGGTTCCACTCACATGATGTCTCCCGCGTGCCGTCCGTCCTCCGGAAGAAAATTATCGTCTGCGTCAGGCGCTTGGTCTTGCACCACGTCTGTAGGTGCTCGCGGGCGACCTCCGAGTGGGCAATATAATACACCATCTGCATTTTCCCGGAGCGAGGCTTGCCGGAGATGTGAAAGATTCTGTTATCCGAGTACTTGAGCCAGCTGGCCAAGGCATTTCGCGTCGGCTCCAGAGCCCAGTGGTGCTCCAGGGACATCAGGGATGGGCTGTAGGCATCCAGTAGGCACGACCTTCGCTCGTGATACCTTGGATATATGAACAAGAACCATTCCGGGCGGTAAGGCCTCCTCCCAAAGGGGAACCCACCATAACTCCTGTACCCAAGCTCCGGCTTTCAGTCCGTCACAAACCTCCCGCCGAACATCTAGAAGAGACGTGCTCTCCTAATGAGAGGGTGATGATGCCGAGGACATTATGTTCACTCTGTTAGATAGCCCTCTACCGATCTTTTGCGCTTCAGGTTCTCGCGAGATGTGCTCGGTCGGATGTGAATTGAAGAATATCGAACTTCCAGGTGTCTACAGCTCTATTTATGGACGACGACTCGCCGTAGGCAGTATATTGACAACGTTCGAGCTGATGACAATTCCCGCAGATTGATAAGGGGTTGGTGGGATTCCCTTGCTTGTGGATTCTTTCATTGCCTCATTGATGTTTACCCCCCTCCCCCAAGACGCAGATGGAGGAGGTAAAGAGGGCGGCGTCATTTCTCTGTGCGCCTTCAGCAGTTCCTCTGTTCACAGTCAATAAAGGCATGCACGCAAGTAGACTGCCCCATGATGCATACTAGTATGCACAGTTGTGTATCGAGTTCGTGCCATACAACAGAATCAAGACACCAAATCTATTAAAGGTACCCGGTGTAATTTTCGATCACGGATGTACCTTTCCAGGGCTTGAAGGGGTTAGCCGGCCTTGGCTATACCAAAGGATTAACTTACATCCTACTTACCACTACCTTAAGACGCAGAAGGCGCTTAGGGGTACGAGACCATTATAGTGGAATGTATTGGGCTTCAGCGGCCGAAAATATTGCTATTACATGTAGATGTTTTGAGGGCCTATTTCCCAGAGGCAGCGAAGTAAACATTTTGCTCACAAGTGATATTCTTAGATTGAACTTGTCACCCCTGGCTTATTTAGAACAATATATTGGGACAATACATAAAAGTACGGAGACAGTGTCCCACTTGTCCCTCTCGATAACTACAACACCTGTACGGTTCACAGCCCTACCCCCTTACCCTCAGGGCCGTTCTGCCTTACTCTGCATGGACAGACTGCGTACTCCGTAGGAGGGCCAATGGTTCCCCCGCTCATAATTGTATTAATCATTCGGTGTACTGTAACTACTTTACTATACTCGTACAATAAGTTAGTCGGCATTTCTAAGTCACCGTCTCTGCTTCTACCATAGTGTACGAAACTGGCCACTTTGATATCCTTTCTGGTTTGCACTCTGTTGTTGCGCTTATTGACTACCTAGTACTCGTTTCTGGTCTCTTGGGTCGGGATCTGCTCTGGAGATTCACTTTCGATCATTCACCATCTCAGCCTGGACCTTGTCCCATGAGGAATCGGGGACTGCTGAGCAAATGACACTACGTACTGCTTTCCATAGAAGCCAGTTAGTCTTGTTCTGGTAGAGAAATCGGTTGCCTTTCTTGGCCGGGGGTAGAGATAGAGGTACCTCCATCACTACCATTGTCATTCCTTACGGTGTTATATGTCATCAAATAGGATGAAATCTCTTTCCCTAACAGACGAATTCCAAGACGTCCCTGTCTCGCAGACTGGTGTTCCAGACTAACGATCTTGACCTACGCTTGTAGAAATAATTCATTCAGCCCAGCCATGGCAGCATCCCGTCAGAATTCCTCACCAAGACCCTGAGCGATGAAGACCCCTGCAGTCTTTGGTGCTGGCAGTGACTCCTTGAACAAGCACGCTTGCGCTTTCCCCATGGTCTTGCGGTCAACAATTCGTTGTTCACATATGCATTGAATTGCGATCGAATGTCTTAGCCCGGCTGAGACAGCTGGCTACCTATGGCCGGTCTGCACTTTCATTCTCGTCACCCTGCCCCTCCTTCTCTTCCCACAGTTCTTATGATCATCATCATCCTCACCACCACCATCACCACCATCATCACCATCGCTATCACTTTACGCCTTATCTAGATCAGCCACATCACTTCCTACCTTCTATCCGATCGTTCTAATCTGGCCCAAACCTTCATCTGTCTCTAACTCCAACCAGCCTCAGTGATTCCCGTCCTCGGTATCCCAAGGTCTTGCCTCCAATGTTGGAGTTAACGATAATCAGCAGGGTGGCACCGGATCTCAGAGTCGCCGTTGGCTTAGGCAAAGTGCCTGTAAAAGGTTCCCGAATTTGGCCGACAAGGAAGGAGCTTGATGAGCTTTGGCAGATGAATGCCGCCTTAAAGAAAACACTGGACGAAGGCAGGGAGAATGTGAAGGTCAGCTCGGAAGGCGACAATTTATAGAGGGTATTCGATCTTTGCTATGGGGCTGCAGAAGAGATGGAAAATATATTGAACAGGGCAAGACCCAAGGACGGCACATGGACAACTAAAGCTAGGTTTTGCCTGGTTTTTGAAGGTCCTTTGTTTGTTTACCGTTGGAGCAAGCGGAACCACATAATGTCCGACCAGCGTAATGCTCTGACCCAGTGTCTCCAAGTGTTAAACATGTGAGTGGAATAGTCAAGCTTCCATTTCTACTTCATGGGTCTTGCACCGTCACTAAAGACCCTCTGTAACCAGGAACCACAATTTGGGACTCCGCGGGAAGATCGAACAGCTCGTTCGAGATGCGCATGACACCAAAACAACGCTCGAGAGCTTGGCGGTACTGATTAATTCTCTACACGACATGTCGAATCTAACAACGGACAACACTCCTCTTCAGAACCGGATCTCGAAATGTCTAGAGAGGCTGGCGCAGACCACTTCTCTCATACCAGCCCATTCTATCCTCGACACTCTACGGTTCCAAGAAATGGAGGAGAGATATAATTCGTTGAATGGGACACACAGAACAACCCTCAACTGGCTCTTGAGCACGGAGACTACTGAAGCTGTTCCAGACCTTGAGAAGAGCTCAATTTGTCAGTCCGAGGAACGACAATTCTTACTGCAGGCTAGAGAGAAATTTATTCGTTGGTTAGAGACAGGGACTGGGATCTTTCACATCTCGGGAAAGCTGGGATCAGGAAAGTCTACTTTGGTGATATATGTTTGCGAACATCTGAAATCTCAAACTCATGTGGATGTTTGGTGTGAATAGACTCTCACAAGGAGGAAACTTGTAAGCGCAACGTTTTCTTTTGGGACGAGGGAAGTCCTGCCCAGAGGAGTCGTCTTGGTTTCATTCGGGCGATTCTTTACTCGATCCTCACTTAGTCGCCCGAGCTAGAACCGTTGCTTTTTGGCTCCACTCATGGCGAAGACGTTCTTGACTTCGACCATGCCTTCGGCCGACTAATGACACTCGACAACATATACGCCGACCACAGAATCGCCATTTTTATCGATGCGCTAGATGAGTGTGGCAGTGGAACGGACCGTGAACAGTTGATCAAAGAACTGGAAGTCTGGGCTTCTTTGAGGCCACACGACCTCAAGATTTGTGTTTCTTGTCATGCGAGCTACCCCGCACTGTGTCCTGCTTCTATAAAGGTGCCACCGCGGCACTTGAGAACTGGTGTACCCAGATCCTGTCCCTGGATATCTTTTTGTCGATCCCGAACAAGGTGTTAGAGAGATTCATTCAGAATTTCAACATCCCTAAAGCAAAGACGAAACTCTCTGCCGATAATGCTGGAGGAAGACTTTTCCCGTCGAGAAGTACTAAAAACGATGCAGCATCCAATTCTCGAGTCGACCAAGGATTTCCGTCCACGAATGACCCTAACAGCTTCTCGGTCAACGTGCAAGCAAACGCGAACGCCTGGAATTCTTCTGTCAGAAGGTTCGCGAAAAAAAACCCCCGACAAGAAACTGTTCGCGTTCCCCATGAATAAGGACGACACTGACGAAGATGTGAAAAAGAAAATGATTGACCGGGAGGTTATCTGTGACTGAAAAGTTCGTTGCATCGCCCGGCTGGCTGTGGGTTCAGAATTACGCTTTACAATGTTGTGTGATTAAGTGGCGCTGTCGTCGTCGTCTTCGGGGTGCTGCCCTGAGAGGTGCAGTGCCGATATAACCGTTTTGGTGTATCCTCTTTTCACTCGCCACCATATTTTCTGGAACTCCCTTTGTCAGTTCTCAATGGCAAGCAGCCATAGGGTCGCTATACGTCAACTGTTGAGCCCCATGAAGGCCCAAAGCAAGTTTATTGGCTTGCAATAAGCAACCTGACAGCCAAACCATCCAGAGACGTATGATTGATTGTAAATGTCATTAGTATACAATCTGAAGGTAGCTTGTCTGGGCTGTGATTAGTCCTGCCAGGAGGGGTACAGTACCTGCCACAGCCACATCTGTCGCCGTAGTCCCATGCCGTAGGCTGGGGCCGGCGAATTCCCTCGGGAGGCCTTTAGCCTCCCGGCTTATTCTTGCATTGCATCTGGTCCGTGGGCCCGTTATCTTCTGTCATCGTTGAAATGCCTTCTCAGAAGCGGTTGATTACACATGTATGTACGCCACGGCGAGGGGTAATACGAGGATCGCTTCTCACCATATAGTCACTGTACCTAGGTTGATAGAATTGAATAGCACGGGCACCCGTTGACGTATAAGTATGGTAGAATGCTCCATCGTCGCCCATTCTCCAGGTCTGCATTAAATCCAAACCTTGCATTCATAGTGAGTCGATTCGCCTGAAACTACCCTCTCCTCAAGCCAAAATGTCGAACCTAGCGCTGGTGGTGCATGGGTCCGAGCTCCGACAAGAGTCGATCGCCATCCCCTCGCCAGCCCCGCACCAAGTCCTCGTCCGTTTGTCTCACGTTGCTCAGAATCCGACCGACAGTGAGTAGTCTCCCTTCCCCCACCTTCGTATCTATCATACCTTTACCCTAGTGGCATCTCTACTGAAACCGAATCCAGTCCAAGCCCTCGATGGAAAAGCCTTCGGGGATGGAGCCGTGCTCGGCTGCGATTTCGTCGGCGAGGTCGTGGCGTTGGGCGATGCCGTGACGCGATTTGCCAAGGGGGATGTCGTGGCAGCCTTGATCTGGGGTGGTGAGTCAACTTCTCTATCAGACCCTCTCATTTCGCAGACCCACAAGACCTGGCGGTGGAGGCTGATGAGGGGGGATCCGCAAAAAACCAGGCGAAATCCCCGGTCTCGGCGGGTACAGTCACTACACGCTGGCCGACGAACGCATCGCCTTCAAGCTGCCTCCGGGGGATAGGATCTCCCGCGAGGAAGCGAGTACCGTGCCCCTGGCCGCCGCGACGGCATGGCTGGCTCTATTCGCCAAGGGGTGTCTGGATATTGATCGCGATCGGTGCCAGGGGAGGAGTGTGCTGGTCTGGGGTGGTAGCTGTGCGTGACCTCCCTCTTTCATAGCGAGCAAATCTTGACAGAGACCTTGTGCTTACTGATGAGTGGACTGACGACCATGGGTAGCGAGCGTCGGTCTATACACCGTCCAACTCGCCTCCCTGTACGGCCTCGAGGTAGTGACCACATGCAGCCCGCGCCACGCCGATCTGGTCCGCGCGTCCGGCGCCGCGCACGTCTTCGACTACCGGGACGGGGACGTCGTCGACAAGATCCGCGCGGCCGCGCCCGCCCTGCACTACGTCTTCGACACGATCGGCAACGAAACCTCGTCCGTGATCGCCTCGCGGGCGGTCCGGGCCGGCGGCAATGTCTGCACCGTGCGGCCAGGCAAGACCTACAGTGAGAATGTCGCGTCGGGGGTCCAGGTGACGAGTGTGTTGGTGTTCACGGCGTTCCTGAAGGACCATTCGTATGGGCCGTATAAGTGGCCGGTGAGTCTGCTTGTTCGATGTGGTTGCGGCAGGGGAGAATGGATTTGAGGGGGCTGTTGTTTGTGGATCGATAGACTGATACTTTGTCGCTTTGGGGACGGCAGGCATCCCAAGAGGACCATGAGCTGGCCAGTGAGTTCTTCGACCTTGTGCCGGATCTACTGGCGTCGGGGAAGATTAAGCCGAGTCGGCCGAAGGTGCTGGGAGGACTGGAGGCTGTGCCGGATGGGTTCCAGGAGTATCGGGATGGGAAGATCTCGGGGTATAAGATCGTCTATCGGATTTGATGGCACGTGAATCTAGGGTTGCAGAGAAAAGTTGTGAACGGGAGCTGTAGATACGAGAAGCATGCGCTAAGCTTTAGGGTCAAAGAGAGGCCAAGCGGCCAAGCGGCCAAGAGGAGATTGAAACGTGAGGCCGAAGCGGAAAAAGCAAAAAACGACAGCAGTCGGATTTGAACCGACGCCTCCGAAGAGAATAGATTTCTAGTCTATCGCCTTAGACCGCTCGGCCATACTGTCTTGTGTGATAGAACCAACAACAACGCACAATATGCAGCTTGCTCAGTATGACATCCCACTGAAGTAACATTTGATGTTTAATTTGACTTTAGCCGGCGCTCAGTTGGCGAGTGCGTGTCTACCCCGCAATGGTGATCAATTTAACTACCATCCGGCTTGTGACGGAAAATATCGAGCGTGGCTTAACGCGAAAATGAGCAGTGTCATGTGACGAGCCCTGAATCGGGCCTCGGCAGGCCACTCGACGACCCAAAAAGCAAGTAAGCAAAAGCAGTTCTATTCTATTGCAAGCAACGTGGAGGAGGACCAAATTCGAGGCCTTCTCTTGAGCGGGTCAAACAATTTTACGGGGTCGCTCTCCGTTTCAACCGGTGGTTCTGGATTTTCGACCTGAGCTATGTTCACTGGTTGTTCTCCTTAGCCATCTCATAGTATCGTGCAACATTTCTTCAAGCACCTATCAGCACAATAAAAAATGCTGCATCTATTGGTGAGGCCTCGCCTTGAATGTCACCCTAAGTTTATGGCTAGCTCAGTTCTAGCCTATGGTCTGAAGACTCAAGCTCGGATAGACTTTTGACCCAGGATCGTCGTCCGTACCACTTTCTCGTCCCCGGAACTCCAACCCAAACAACCGAGGGTGGTGATCCCCAGAATCGCAATGGTTGCCCGTTTGAGCGACTGCGAGGGCATGTGAACTGGTGGCGATGTCTCTTTTAATGGGCGCGCGTAGCCGCTGGATGTGATCTCGTCAATCAAGGAACACTACAGCCTGCGTCGTTACCATGAATTTCCAACAGTCGATCTCTCTCGTCCAATCCTGGTCTCTTTCGTTTTGGGCTCAGCTGCCTGAGCCTGTACGGACTGCCCTTGACCGTCATCCAGTCGTCCCGCTAGCCCTGAACTCTTTGCTCGCTATTGTTGTCCTGCGGTATTTGAACCGCGCCCTCACATCGTGGTCACTGGGGAACTGCTCCGCCAACAGATGGAACCCAGATCGTGAGCTGGTCCTCATCACCGGTGGCAGCAGTGGCATCGGCCAGCACGTCGTCCTCCAGTTAGCCGAGCGGAGTGTGAAGTGCATCGTCCTCGACATCCAGGCACCTACCTATACTCTGCGTACTGAGCCCCTAGTCCTCATCGAATCTGCTCTCTAGCTAATATTCTTCTGCAGCCAAATCTGCTCATTTCTACAAGACGGACATCACGTCCACCGACGCGCTCCATGCCACCGCCGAGCAGGTGCGCGCCGACCACGGCCACCCGACGGTGCTCGTTAATAACGCCGGCGTGGGCCACGACGGGACCATCCTCGACGAGCCCGAGAGCAAGATCCGCCAGACCTTCGAGGTCAACACGCTGGCGCACTTCCTGACGGTGCGCGAGTTCCTGCCGGCCATGCTGGAGCGCAACCACGGGCATGTGGTCACGGTGGCGAGCATGGCCAGCTTCGTCGCGCTCGGCGAGATGGTGGACTACTGCTGCTCCAAGGCCAGTGCGCTGGCGTTCCACGAAGGCCTGGGCCAGGAGATTCGACACTGGTATAAGCGGCCTGGTGTGAAGACGAGGTATGCGGTTTTTCTTTGCTCGTTTGATGTCTCCCCCTTTTTTTTGTCGCAATTCTCCCTCGCATGGCTAATGACAACCTCGCGTGTAGCGTCATTCATCCGTATTGGGTCCGGACACCCATGATCCAGCAACTGACCGACGCTGGAGATCTGTTCAAGCAGCCGGTCATGACGGTGGAGCGTGTGGCTACGGCGATTACGCGCCAGGTGGTGTCGGGCAAGAGTGGGCAGGTCATTCTTCCTGAGGCCTACTCGGTTGCCAGTATGGTGCGGGCATTTCCGACATGGTTGCAGGAGCACGTACGAGGGCTCTCTTCGAAAGACATTCGACGGCTTCGGGAAGCGCAGAAGTGAGAACAAATTGCTGGCCAATTGCTACGGTTAGAGGGCCTGAAGGCGTCAGTTCAATGTGTGGTCGAGAGGTGAGGTCGGTTTCGAAGAAGATCTTTGTGTGACCCCGATCCTTTGGCTAAATCGATCGATTATCTCCCGATCAGAAGGAGATATGTTGCCCGGGACTACTTGGGATAATATGCCTGCAATGGTAATAGTGAGTCTGTCGTAAGCTGTAAGGCAGGGTTTTCTCTTCTCCGCTGTCTCGACCAAGCCTCTATTTCCTTTTCTTTTTTTTCAAACGCTTTTTCGCAATTGTTAATAGTAATGAAGATCATATCATCACATAATTTGACCATCGGCGAAACCATACAAAGGCGGTGTCCGACCGGGGAAGGGATGGTCCGATGGATGGATAACTAAATAATCCATTCATTAATACTGCGTGCTGAATACTTCCTGATTGCTTAATCAGGGCATGATCGGTTCTTCGAGGTCCCGTCCGTGTCTTACCATGACGACAAGTTATCCGGTTTCGTCTCGCTCTTTCCCTGACTGACCCCCCGATTTAATTGGGGAATGTGTCAGTCACAACACTGTAGATTTTTGGTATTCTGTATTCAGTATGTTGTTCCATCCACTATCTTTCCACCTTTCTGATGAGAAACTGTACCTGAAATATCCACACTCATTTAAATCGCCATGGCCAGTAATCACTATTCATTATCAGGAGATGATCTAAGCCGATACCCCGGAGCCACAACCACTCAACTTCCCAAAATCGACTTCGACGAACCCCTTCACCACGCCGGACCACCACCGCCCGCAGGCGCCGGCGAAGGGCCTCGCCGCAGCAAGAATGCGCCCGTGCTGGAGCATCGCTGGTACGACCCCCGGGGCTGGTCGACCCGCAGGCGCCTCCTCGTCGCCGTCGGCATCGCCATCGTCATCATCATCGCGGTAGTCGTCGGGGCCGTCGAGGGCACGAAGAGATCGAGCAGCTACCCGGACTACTCGCGCCTGGACTACGAACTGGTCGACACCTACGCGGGGGCCTCGTTCTTCGACCGCTTCGACTACTACTCGGGGGTCGACCCGACCGACGGCTTCGTGCAGTACGTTAACAAATCCACCGCGCAGTCCCTCAACCTGACGTACGTCACGGCGGACGCCTCGTCGGCGGTGCTGCGCGTCGACACGGCGGACCGCAACGCGAGCCACGGCCGTCGCTCCGTGCGCCTCGAGTCCACCACCAGCTACGACACGGGCCTCTTCGTCTTCGATATCCGGCACTCGCCCTACGGCTGCGGCCTGTGGCCCGCCCTGTGGCTGACCGACACGGTCAACTGGCCCGCCAACGGGGAGATCGACGTCGTCGAGACCAACAACCTCGCCACCGAGGGCAACGCCGTCACCCTGCACACGGATGGCGGCTGTAACATGAAGAACGTCAAGCGCAAGCAGACCGGAACATCCAATTTCGTGACCTGCGATAACAGCACGCACAGTAACGCCGGGTGCGGGGTGCAGGGTCCGCCCAACACCTACGGGCAGGAGTTGAATGAGAATGGCGGCGGGGTATGTTGCATGCACCATTGCATCTTCCTTTTTTTTTTTTTTTTTTTTTTTTTTTTTTTTTTTTTTTTTTTTTTTTTTTTTTTTTTTTTTTTTTTTTTTTTTCCCCCCCCCCCCCCCCCCCCCCCCATGAAATGCAGAGAAAGGAAGATGAACTAATGAATAACAACAGATTTACGCCCTCGAACTCCGCGACGCAGGCATCCGCACCTGGTTCTTTCCCCGCGCCGCCATCCCGAACGACATCACCTCTAGTATCAGTACCTCCACCAACACCTCCACCTCCACAACCCCCGACCCGTCAACGTGGGGCACCCCCCTGGCCGACTTCCCCAGCACCCACTGCGACATCGCCGCCCACTTCCGCAACCAGAGCATCATCGCCAACATCGACCTGTGCGGCGAGCTCGGCGCCCAGAAGCAGTTCTACACCGACCTCTACCGCTGTCCCGGCCGGTGTGTGGACTTCGTGCGCACCCATCCGGACAATTTCACCCAGGCGTATTGGGAGTTCGCGGGGTTTTGGGTTTTCCGGGCGACGTAGTAGATCATATATATTATAGATTTGACTGGATGTGTTATGTAGATATGTAGATAGACTGGGTTGGAGTGATTTGGGACTAGCGGAGTTATGGGATGGGGTTCGCACGTTCATTTTATGTTGAAGGGTTCAGTGCTTGCTGGATGAGCGCTTGAATTATGAGTATTCTCATGTTTGTGGAGGAAAGACATATTGCTTGTTGGGGGGAGATGTGATACTGCGAATGAAGTCTACTCACTACAATCGGTAACACCTGAAGTCAGACAGGTGGAAGTGAGGTGGCATTAGAACATCCGTATACTTATGCTTTACTGGCCGACAAAAGGTCCAACTTTCACATCACGTCGTTCATACATCATAACGCACAACACGCACAACAAATCACCCGATGTCATACCCGGGGTACCCCGACCCCGCCGAGACCATCGTCGAGTATCCCGGCATGTACGCCCCCGGCCCGGCCCCCGCCATATACGTCGCCGGCGACGAGATCAGGCGCCGCTGGATGGTCTCCGACAGCTGCTGCATCTCCTCGAACACGGGTTCGTCGCCCCATTTGCGTAGTCCGAACCGCAGAATGCAGTGTATATCTGACAGGCAGGCCGTCGCCCGCGCGTAGAAGTTGAGGCAGTCTTCGCCGTCGAGGACCAGCGCCGACGGCGTCTCCGGGGGCACCGCCGGTAAGACCGGCACCGAGGGACTGAGCGGCAGGTCGTGGTTCTCGGTCAGTTCCCGCGTTAGGCGGCGGATCGCCTGCAGCGCGCGGTGCATGTCCCAGAAGGTCAGGAAGGGGGACCAGGCCGGGTTGCGCAGCGCTTCTTGGATTTGGCCGAGGTACTGCATGCAGCGTTCGAAGAGGACGACGTTGCGGTACTCTCCGATCGCTGCCGGGGGTTCGTCATTCGGCGAAAGAATTATGGCCACGGTGTAAAGGAGTTCCAGTTTGTAGAGGACGGGGAAGTGGCTGGGCGTGGTGTTGGGGGTTGCGTCGAACCATTCGTAGGCTTCTGCGCCGAGGGCCCAGGTGGATTTCGCGTACAGGGGGCAGGAGTCGTGGTCGTGGAAGTAGTTCCTTGAGTACGCTTCGGATAGAATCTGCCGGATCTTGACCAGATGCCAGGCGGGTTCGGAGCTGCGCAGGAAGAGATGGCTCTGCTCGCTGAGCATGGAGCCTGCCGTGCTGGAGGGAAGGGCGACATTGACGGACTCGTCGGAGAAGGAGAATGGCCGTTCGAAGACGGTGCTGGCGCCTCTGTCGAGAAAGTCAGTAACCTTTCCGTGCGTGTCCGTGAGATTCATACGAACCTGTCCAAAGAGTAGAGGCAGTGTAATATGCGACGACGCAGGTCTAGATGTTTGGTCGACGACTGGACTTCGACCGGAGGATCTTGGTGTAGACCGAGATCCACCATCACTCGAACAGCCATCCCGACCAGAAACCAACTCCGAAAATGTTTGGGGTCGTATAACGAGTATTGCGCCAGTAACATAATCGCCTGGACCCCCTGAATGGATCCTGGACGCAGGACATCTTCCGCCCTTTGCAGCGCCTGGGTGACATATGATAGCGCGTCCTGGTGGCTTTCATCGCCAATCTCGTATGATAAGGATGCAGAGGAGGTGGCCAGGACTGTGTATAAGATCCAGTGGTCGAACGGTTTGGCAAACCGACCGCCGGACTGATAGACCGCATCAACCGAGGTCCAGAAGCTTGTTTCAGCGAAGAATGGGAGTTGAATGTAGAGAGTGTCGAAGTAATGTTGAAGGAGGTGGGTGATCTCGTGGCGCGGTGGGAGTGGTCGTGAAGATTGTTTGGGTAATGGGTCGGCGAGGGAAAGTGATAAGAGAAGGTTGGCAAAGGAGGTGCTCGAAGTGATACCGTGGAAGTCTCTGGAGGTGGCGTTCACAGACCTGTTGATGAGGAGGTGGTTAGTCAGTGAGTGGGTGGATTGCATTGGAAGACGACGCACAAGAATCCAAAATCCCCAACCAGATCATCAATATCCGAGACTTCTTTGTTGGGACCCTGGACCGCCGATTCCGACGATGTTATCGAGGTGATCGAGTTCTGGTGCGCAATCCCCCTATTGTCGACGGACAGCGAGGTCTTCAGATGGCGGAGCTCCGCGATCTTCTTCTCCAGCCTTTCGCAGTACCCCTCTAGGGAAGCAACATAACTTCTTTCTTTGCCTCGAGCAAACTCGTCGCTTGCGCCGGAGCAGGTGTCGGACTTGCCCACCCTTTCACATGCGGAGCAGGCAGGAAGCTTCCCGTCGCACTTGATCTTGGCGGTTCGACATCGTGAGCAAGCAGCGACCGGCCGACTAACTTTGAGGAGTGGCTTGTCAAGGAATAGCGTAGCCGACATCTTATCCGTACATGTTACACCGATGATATGACGGAGAGCAGGAGGTCTTGGAGAGAAGGATCGGGTCGAGTATATAGTCTGCTGCGAGAGCCACCCTGATGATAAAGCAAGGGTGAGCGGCGTTACACAGGTTCAATAGCTGGATTGGCGATACTTACCTAGAAAGCTCGAGTAAGGGCCGACTGATGCAGTGCCCTATTTGAAACGAGAGAAGTCCATGTATGGGGGACAATATGAGGCGTCAGTTGTCCGATTAGTTGTCAGACAATCGACCATTGAGAGACACTGATAAGACATGGATTGGCATGATCGAGGGCGGCGACTGTCCAAGACCAGCGCAGTGTTTGCAGTGTTTGCATTGGGGGGGGTCATGTGATGGCGTGCTTGCACGGGTGCACCTCGACCCTTGCGGGGAAGTCCTCGTATCAGCCGGAGACATGCTCCACACACTTCTTTGTTCAAAAGAACCGAGCTGGAGATTTGGTGAGGATATCGGAGTTATCAGACAGATATGCGTCTATCGACAACCACTTTTACCACATATCTTTCCATTTTACAGGATTGGTAATACCTGGCCCCTGAGACATCATCCTCTTTCACCTGTGGCCCAGCGGGAAATCGTTCCCTTTCGGTTCTCGGAGGATTGCCGAGGCACTCATTGGCCGCTGTGGCTTGGAGTGGAACAGCTTCTCCCCGCCTCGAGATCACAGCCTGCCTATCAGACATTCTCCATCACTTCCCCAGAACAATCCCCCAGCCCAGACAAAGCCTATAACGGCACTAGTGAATCGTTCCTCGCTAGTCAGTGCGGTGTGTGACTGCCATCCATCGTCTCCACCAATTCCTGTTCGCTGTT